CATAGAAAATGTTCAGATTAGCTAAAATTCAACAAATACAGACCTTTATAGCCAGGATTCGCCATATTGTCTCAATAAAGTCGAATCCTTCACTTCCGTGTTCCAATTGTACGGAAGTCCCACTTAGCTTTTCCCCAAGAAATTCTACTTTGTGAGGCAAACTCCTGCGCTGATGCTTCCCTGGACACTTCACTCTTGAGCTTTACAATCTATCCTCATATTTTCCACTTCCTTCTACTTCCTCGCCGAAGTAAAGTAACATTGAGCCTGTTTAGTGCATAGATTGGTGACTGCTTTGGAATATCAGGTGCTGTTAGCGTGAATATGTGGCTGGTGTAACGAATAATGACACGAAATTTGAAATTGGGGAGAGAGAGTTTCAATTCCAGTCGGGTTTGTTATACTCAATTATGCACAAATACCGTTAGGGAAGATAAGGATCCACCCAGCTATGGACTATTTTGTATGAATTGATTCAGTCAATCATTATTATGTGCCCCGCACAAAAAAAAAAACTTACAGTCTAAAAATGTTCCCTAGCTTTAAATAACCAGCAAAAGGTTGATAAACCGTAAAAAAACAAATCAATCAATCCAAGCAAATATCCTTGGGAAAAGTTTGTTTTTTGTGTTTTACGGCATATCAACCTCGTTTGGGTTATTTAATGCCAATAATAGATATCTGGGCCTTGATAATTAGATAGTTGCTTGTCATTCCTACTTTGATATAAAGATATATATATTGATATTTACACCTTGACAATCAGATAGATAGCTTGATAATCACACTTCGACATATAGATAGATATTCTGATATTTCGGCCTTAGAGGCTCTTGTAAGTATTTTTGCAGAGCTTAAAATCGTGGCATTGGGTTAAGTTAAAAAAAGGAAAAAAAGTCTTCTTTTTTTTTTTAAATTTTGTTATGGCTGTCGATTTCTGAAAGGAAACTGTATATCTTGTTGGTTTCTGTCTCTTCAAAGACTCTTTTGAGGCTCTTATGGTTATAATATTTTCGTCTTATTTTGGAAATGGTTCTGCACTTCAACATGAAGTGCTTCACAGTGAGTCGGCTTCCACAGGAGCATTTTTTTTTTTCCTTTTTATAGATTCATTTCTTCTAGGTATGGAGGTGTGGTATTCTCAGTTGACATATTGTTAGGGTTTTTGTTTTGTTTCTTTTTTTCAGGGGAGGATTTTGTTTGGCTTTTTGATCTGTTCTTGGAAGTTGATCATTGGCTCGGCTGGCATTTCTTATAAGTTTGTGTGTCTTTTTGAGTTGCATTTTTTCCATGCTGTGTTCTTTTCGAAAGTTCAGTTGTGGTCGTGTTTTCTGATTTTTCTTGTTCTATTTTGTTGAGAAGTAAAAATCCGTTTTGAGTTTTCAGGTTGTTTGCTGTAGATTCTCTGTCTTGGTTTTGCAGGTCTGTTTGGCTTCTGCTGAAGCTTTTGGTTTCCTCTTTTGGAGTTTGTTTTGTGATATTTGATATGGAGTGTTCAGTTGTTGTTTTTTTTTTGGTTATTTTTAGCTGCTATCCACGTTTCAGAGTCTGTCTATATTTCTGAGATGAGGTATTATGTACAGCATTTACATTAGTCGGACTATTGTCCTCATCTTTGTCGCCATATTTGTCACAATGTTTCGGCCGTTGTACGCTCCGGCCTTCTTCAGATGGTTGGAATTTCGAACTGAACCCTTTATTTCGATCACTGGGGTAGACTGTTCTAGTTCCACGCGCCATGTTTGATGGGTGTCAGTTATCAGTTATCTCCTGCTAATTTTTCCCTCTGAAAGTTCTCCACTGCCTTAACCAGGTATTGAACTCACCTTCTTTGGGTCTGTCACTGGATCTAACCAACGCCTTTATCCACTGTGCCATGTGTCCTTCAGGAATTCCAACCACCTGAAGAAGGCCGGAGCGTACAACGGCCGAAACGTTGTGACAAATATGGCGACAAAGATGAGGACAATAGTCCGACTAATGTAAATACTGTCCACGTTTCAGGTTTGAGTATTATGGTTAGTTCAGTAAGTAGAAATCCACCTAGTAATAGTAAGTCATCATTATTTACAAGAAATTCTTACAATTTAAAAATGTTTTTTGGCTTTAAATAACATGCAAGAGGTTGATAAACCGTAAAAAAACAAATCCTTTCAGGAATGATTGCAAAAAAGTCCTCCCTTCCCAAATCTATAGACAAAAACATACCGATGCATGCTGGGATTTTCTTCTTAAACAATAAGATAGGCCACTTCTCGGTCTCATGAGACTCAGTTCTGTTCTATCTTGTTTTGATGCCAGAATGCTGCGGGCGCTTGTCTGTATCCCCTTTTTGTGTTAACAGCATTCTTAGTTTTATGAACTTTTTGCCTTATTACTGTTGCTTTGCCTTATTACTGTTGATTTGTCTTATTACTGTTGATTTGCCTTGCATATAGTGTTTGTTTGCTTAATATTATTTTATTGTTGAGTTCTTTTTTCTTCCGAGGTTTCTAAAATTAAAATAATTTTTTATGCACTTTGCATTTTAAAATGTACTCCGATTTAATATGTGATCAAAATCTTCACATTTACAACTAGAAAGATGAATGGTATTACAAATATCAGTTCCTGTTTCTTCCTTATACTTTTTGTTACACTTATGACTTATTTTGGTGACACTGTCCTGAATATGGTGAGGCACGTGACCAAAGACGAGTTATTTTTATTTCTCTTTAGTTCCAGTTACTAGAAAACACTGCAAAAACATGCCCCTCCACAAAATTATAGACAAAATATACAGATGCATGCTGGGATTTTCTTCCTGATCAATAAGATAGACAACTTCTTGGTCTCATCCGACATAATTCTGTTCTTTCTTGTCTTGAAGCCAGAATTCCGCAAGTGCTTGTCTGTATTCCATTTTTTTGGTTAAAAACATGCTTAGTTTGGTGAAATGTTTGCTTTGTTACTGTTGATTTACTTTATTAATGTTGCTTTGCCTTAATACTGTCGCTTTGCCTTATTAATGTTGCTTTGCGTTATTATTGTTGTTTTACCTTATTAATGTTGCATTAGCGCGTTAGTGCTGTTTTACCTTATTAATGTTACTTTACCTTATTGATAATTTGCCTTATTACTTTTGCTTTGCCTTATTAATGTTGCTTTGGCATAATTATGTAGCTTTACCTTATTAATGTTGTATTACCTTATTAGTGCTGCTTTACCTTATTGCTGTTGCTTTGCCTTATTAACGCTGCTTTACCTTATAACTGTTACTTTGCCTTATTAATGTTGCATTACCTTATAACTGTTACTTTGCCTTATTAATGTTGCATTTCTTTATAACTGTTACTTTGCCTTATTAACGTTGCTTTACCTTATAACTGTTACTTTGCCTTATTAATGTTGCTTTACCTTATAACTGTTACTTTGCCTTATTAATGTTGCATTACCTTATAACTGTTACGTTGCCTTATTAATTTTGTATTACCTTATTAGTGCTGCTTTACATTATTGCTGTTGCTTTGCCTTATTAACGTTGCTTTACCTTATAACTGTTACTTTGCCTTATTAATGTTGCATTACCTTCTTACTGCTGCTTTACGTTATTAATGTTGCTTTACCTCATTACTGTTGATTTGCTTCATTAATGTCGCTTTTCCTTACTAATGTTGCTTAACCTTATTAATGTGGCATTACATTATTAGTGCTGCATTACCTTATTAATGTTGCTTTACCTTATTACTTTTGATTTTCCTTCTTACTGTTGAATTGCCTCATTAATGTTGCTTTACCTTATTACTGTTGCGTTACTTTATTAATGTTGTATTACCTTATTAGTGGCACTTTACCTTATTAATGTTGTTTTGCCTTATTAATGTTGCTTTGTCTTATTAATGTTGTATTAACTTATTAGTGCTGCTTTACCTTATTAATTTGGCTTTACCTTATTGCTGTTGCTTTTCTTTAGTAATTTTGCATTACCTTATTGCTGTTATTTTCCCTTATTAATGTTGCATTACCTTATTAGTGCTGATTTACCTTATTAATGATGTTTTACCTTATTACTGTTGATTTGCCTTATTAATGTTGTTTTACCTTATTACTGTTGATTTGCCTTATTAATGTTGTTTTACCTTATTACTGTTGATTTGTCTTATTAATGTTCCTTTACCTTATTAGTGCTGCTTTACCTTATTAATGTTGCTTTGCCTTACTAATGTTGCTTTGCCTTACTAATCTTCCTTTGCCTTGCATATATTGTTCGTTTGCTTATTATGATTTTGTTGTCCAGTTCTTTTCTTATCTTTTTCTTCTTATTGCTTATTGCAAGTCTGTTTGATCGGCATTTCTGTCAAATCCATTTAACCCTAACCGATTTCTCTACATTCAATTAAGCAAAGCCATCTTTCTTTCTTATTACACACCTCGTTCAGTAACCCTCTACCGTTTTTCTAAGTTTCGATTAACTTTAGTTAAACACAGAATTATTCGATACTCATAAAGACTATACAAATGTGTCCTTTCCTTATTTTCTTAGAACGCTACCAACAGAGCAATGCTTATTAAGTTTGTCTTACAAACGGCTCCAAAAGTCCAGGACTAAGGAATGTTCGACAATCTATTTTAAATATTCCTTCCTTTTTGGCTTTATTATTTCTTATATGTTTTCTCAAGGTCCATAGATTTATTGTCAAAATAACACTGCTTCATTCAATTTCTGGGAAGATTCTTGTGGAAGTTTAACGGAAATGTAGGGTGATTTCCAGGTAATAAGCATTTTGTCCTTAATGCAGAAAGCGAAATTCGAACCTGATTTACCAGTTGTCTGTGTAGATTCTAATTCTGAAGGAGAATTCTTACACCTTAATATCACACGGATCATCGCGAATGACGACCCCACAAGCCAAAGAATTTGATGAAATTCGCACGTTCTAATTTCACGTTCAAGTCAATGTTTTTCTATGACCCCTTCACGTAATACAATTTTTTTATTCTCTCTTAATTCCTTTGGTCGCATGTTTTTCTGTCTATATTCTTTCTTTTACTCATATCTATCTATCTATCTATCTATCTATCTCTCTCTGTTACATTCATATCTATCGTTCTATTTATCTATATATCTATTCAGATATAGCGTTTGTTTTTTTATATATGTATGTATGTATGCATGTATGTATCTATCTATCTTTTCATATATTTCATTTATCTATCTATCTATCTATCTATCTATCTATCTATCTCAGTCTCTTCATATCTATCTATCTATCTATCTATCTATCTATCTATCTATCTATCTATCTATCTATCCTAAAGTTTTTCTCTATCATTTCTTTTTTGTTCTTTAGTTTTGTGTATCTACATTTAAAATAACTCTTTCTTCATTTTCCCATATATCATTTCTACGATTTCTTTCTTTCTTTCTTTCTTTCTTTCTTTGTTCTTATCTGTCTATCTCAGTCTGTTCACATCTATCTCTATCTATATAAGGCAGGATGTGTGTGGCTGTGTGTAACGAATGCATGGGCGCAATTTTCGACGGATCTGAACCAAAATTTACATGCACATGCTCCAAGTTAGCGGGAAGGCCAAAATCGACTTTGCATTTCCCAACGCCCATCGATAGTGGAAATAATCGATTTTTCATGCTTCTACGGCGGTTTTCATGTCGTTTGCGGCTATTTTCTACTGGCCAGAGTAAGAGCCTATAGCTGTCTGCCATGAATAGGCAGGAAGATTCTATTGGCCAGCGTGAGAGCCAACAGCTGACTGACACGAATGTTAACTAGCATGCTAGCATGCAAAAAAAAAAAAAAATAATAATCGATAGCTGCATTCGTCACAAGTGGGAAAAATTTAAATCTGCATGCCACTTTACTCCAATTGGCTCATTCGCTTGCTTAAACTCAATGTTGATTCTGATTCCGCAGAACTGGGTTGCGTGTGAAAAAGTATTTGTTGTTAACATTCTTTTTTCATTCGGTTTTTCCATTTACCAGTCCTTTTTTTAAAGCTGATAGTTTTGTGTACATTTTGTTTAGTTGATTTTCCGTAACAGATTTAATGTTTAGTATAGAGCTTAGAAAAAATTCGCAGTATGAGATAGGCAAGAAGTAAGGCATGTAGCAATATCAGCGCGGCAAAGGGCACTCCTTTAAAGGCAAGGAAGGGCAAAAATATTTTAAGTCAAGTGATAGCGATTGCTATATGAGTCGTACGATTTTTGAATCAAGCACGGGCAACGCCGGGTCATGCTGCTAGTCGATCTATATCATTCCGTTCACATTATCTATCTATCTATCTATCTATCTATCTATCTCACTTCTAGATTTGTATCTTTCTTCTTTTCTTTAAAATTAATGCTTTTATCTCGATTCTTTTTCATACATACATTAATTAGTTTGTGCTAACATCACTTTGGTGCTAGCTATGATAAATCGAATTGTCCAAAGAATAAGCTCAAAAACAAGGTTTTCCATGTTGATTTTCATTTTTGTATTCTTCATCTGCTCATAGAAATGCTTCCGTCTGCATCTGCTACAGATGGATTATGAAATTGATTTTCAAACTTACCGAGTCGACAATGAACGATTTCAGCTACCATATATGGGCAGGAGCTACTCAGTCTGCACTTTCCAGTATCGATAGAGTCCAAAAGCTTCTCCGCGTTCTTGTGGGTGATGAATTATTTTCCAACCTACGACACTTTTCACATACATTAAACGTCGTAAGAATCACACTGCTCTACGATTATATTGACAGACAACAGAAAACTTTTTGTATCACAACACATTTTCAAATGTAACCAGGGTAAGTTTAATATCATGCCGATATATCAAACAGACAATTACTCGTATCTACAAATACAGGAAAAAAACTTTATAGACAAATTCAAACCCGAACTGAATAGATCGTAACCCCACACACAAAAAACACACAACATGCACACACGGTGACCCAATACAATGATCAAATCGCTCACATACATGGACGCACACTCATATACGGGAGACACGAGGAGACATATATATATGTATGTACACATACATACATTTATGTATGTATATGCCGATGTTGACAACTTAAGAAGTGCGTGTGTGTGTGCGTGTGTGTGCGTGTGTGTGTGTACTGGTTCCATGTAGCTTGGGAAATATGTGTGTATATGTGTGTGTGTACTGATTACTTGTGGTGCGATAGTGTGTATGTGCGTATGTGTGTGTATGCGTGTATAGGTACAAATAAGTTTACGAATTCCTCGTAGTAAGACAATATGTATGGAGGGGAAATATACGCACGCATATATACACGCATGCTGACAGGAACACACCAAAATAGAAACAGATCCAAGAGCACATAGGGGTCACTAAAACATTAAAAGATTAAATGCCGATAACTACTCGCTGGACCAACCTTAATTGTTTTATGACCTTCGCGCAGAACTCTTCATTGACAATTCTAGAAAGAAAATTCGGATTGCCAAAACACAAACAGAGAATGTCTCATATCGAGAACATTTCACATTGAACATGAAGAAAATTAATTATTTTTAATAATATGTAGAAATCTCCACTTTTACCTGAAGACGGTCGCGAGACCAGAAACACGTGTCGTAGTAAAATTATGTAAAACAAAGCATAATATTTTTTCTAAATAAATCCACATTACAACCAAAAACGTTTGCGGCACCTCTCTTCTTTTTATATATATATATATATATATATATATATATATATATATATATATATATATATATATATATAATGTACATTATATACCTATATGTAGATTTATATATATATATATATATAAATATATATATATACATACACATATATATATATATATATATGAAGAAATATAATTTTAAGGTATTCTATATTTATAGATAAAGTTCTCAATATCAGAGATAGATCGTATGTAAATATAAAAATAAACATTGAAGTCAACACTCAGAGGTGACAGAGGTGTTTCATGCTAGACGTAATTATCAGATGTGATGATTGCTTTTAGCATAAAACATTCTGTCGCTTCTGAGTGTTGACATCAATCAATGTTCACTTATATATATGTGTGTGTGTGTTTTATACCGACCTCCACTGATTTGCTAAAAATGTAGGATAGTATGAAGAAAATACGCCCTAAATTTCATAAAAACAAAAGTTTATTGTCAAACTCTTTAAGTTATTAAGAGAAAAGATCAAAGGATATTTTAATTTTTAAATTATATTTTTAATCATTTTTTGAACATTTTAGCTATTTTTTTCTTGTCATTTTAAAAATGTTTTTTTTAATTTCCTAAAATAAAATATATATATATATATATATATATATATATATATATATATATATATATATATATATATATATATTACTCCACTGATTTGCTAAAAATTTAGCATAGTCTGAAGAAAACACGCCCTGAATTTCATAAAACAAAAAAGTTAATTGGCAAAATCTGTATGTTATTAAGAGGAAAGATCAATGGAGTTTTTGGTATTTAGAACATTTTAGCTAATTTCTCTTGCAATTTAAAAATGTTTTTTGTTTTAATTTCCGAAAATAAATTATATATATATATATATATATATATATATATATATATATATATATATATAAAGAAATATAGTTTTATCAGAGATCGAGCGAATGTAAATATAAAAATTAACATTGAAGTCAGCACAGAGGTCACCATCTGTTTCATGCTAGACGCAATCATCAGACCTGATGATTGCGTTTAGCGTGACATTCAGATTTTAAATTATGTTCACATTGCTTTGCAAAATTCTTGAAAAAAAATCAAATAATTGTTGGATTTTAATCAAACTTTCAGGATTTATTCACAAATGAATGAAGTTATTTTAGAAATGTTTCCTTTTCAGAAAATCTTGATAAAAATATTTAATTTTATGAAATTTAGTGAAATTAACTTTTGTAATACTTTATGTTTACATTAGTCATAACTAGAAGTTTTGGAAAATTTGAATAATTTTTTTTCTAAAACAGGACTCCCAATAACCGAAAATTTGCTCTTAATCGTAAACCAGAAATACAATAAAAATAAGGCATTATTTAATTACAAAATATTTTAACTATATCTCTCTATATTTCTAAGATGAGGTATTATATACACTATTTACATTATTCGAACTATTGTCCTCATCTTTGTCGCCATATTTATCACAACGTTTCGGCCCTTCAGTATCTGTCTATATTTCTGAGATGAGGTATTCTGTACATTATTTACATTATTCGGACTATTGTCCTCATCTTTGTCGCCATATTTATTACAATGGCTGCAGAAAGAAATATAAAGGGGAGAAAGGCCATTCCCTTAAGTTAAGGCTTCAAGAACACCAGAAATCTGTAAGACAAGGGGTAGTGGAAAAATCAGGCGTGGCTGTCAGAAATGGAGAGAAAAGGGACATCACCACCCTCTGTGGAATCAGGTTGAGATCATAGACAAAGAACATCATTGGAAAATTCGGAAACTTAAGGAATCAGGACATATGCTAGGCCACAAAAATCTCCTGAGCCGGCAAAGCATAGAAATGAATACAATATCGGAACCAGTAATAAAGAGTGCCAGAGAAAAGCGATAATAACAACAAAAATTGCAATATGAGCTCTGGTAAAAGCATGCAATGATAACAGCAAAAATTGCAATATGAAGACTGGTAAAAAAAAGTTGCTGAAGACATTAGGTTTATAATACCCAGAAATTCATACGCAGATGTCCTCATGGCACAGTGGATTATGGCGTTAGTTAGATCCAGTGACAGAACCCAAAGAGCGTGAGTTCAACACCCGGTTATGGCAGTGGTGATCTTGGAGAGGGGAATTAACAGGAGATAACTGATAACTGACAGAAACTAGAACAGTCTACCCAGTGAGCGAAATAAAGGGTTCAGTTCACCTGAAAAAGGCCGGAGCGTACAACGGTCGAAACGTAATAAATATGGCGACAAAGATGAGGACAATAGTCCGAATAATGTAGATTTTAAATGCTTTTATGAATAAGATATATTATGGAATGGGCATTATTTTCTTTCGAAAAACATTTTTTTACGATTAATAATAATTTTTTATAAGAACTTTTTTCAGTTTTTGAAATATTAATTAGCATAATTTATAAAGTTTTAAACTTTTAAAATTCTGTATTAATTTGTACGAGTTAGGTGATATTGATTTTAAGTAAAAATTTATTAATCATAAATGATAAACCTTACTAAAATTCATCGTCTTCTGGTATTTTTCAAAAGAATTTTCAATTTTTTGGGTGTGTGTGTGGAGATGCCGATTTTTATAAATACGGGCGTCCATACACGACTAAAAATTTTCTATAACCACCGTACGGCATTTAAAATTCGTTAAAACATTAAATTACTTTGATTTTGACGTTATTTTCGCAATAAATTTACGGCTGGGTATTTCAGCAGAAAAATAAAAACTTACAAGAATTAAAAGTAAGAGATATTTGTTTGAAATAAAATGAAACTTTAAATCAGCTAATCTTCCTCAAATTAAGTTTAAGAAAAGCATATTTTATTTTTGGAAGATTGCTTTATATAAAGAATTACGTTTTGCTGAGAGAATCGTAAATATGGTTAAAATCCTAGATTTTTAGCGATTTAAAAAACTAATTCTAATCAACGTGAGTTCGTTTTGAAATACAGTAAATATTTTATTTATTGGAAATATTAAATTTATTCAACTGGCTTGAGTTAAAAATTAAACAAAAATTTTAAGAAATTTTTCATTTAAAAAATAATTTTAAACCTTAAGTATCGCTTTCGTTCGGAGGTACCTACATTTATATAATGTACATTTAATCATCTGTTTTAGATTGATTATGGCTCTCCACAATTCCCTGACCTTTGCAGCTCTTAGCAAATTTTGATTGTTTGCTATTTCTTCTTATCTCAGTTCTACCAACCATTTACCTAATATCGTTCTTCTTTCATATGCTGACCCATCCGGACGTGCACGATCATGGCTCTCCACATTTTCCAGTATTTTTGTAGATTTTAGTAATTTTTCGTATTTTTGCGAGTCTAATTGTAATTACGATGGTACAGCAGTCCGGGAAAAAGAACTCCCGAATTTATTGGTGAGGGCCTCAGAATCAACATGGAGGCCTACATCAAATGCCTCCAGGAGGTTGTTCTGCTTTGGGTCAAGAGTGTGGAAGTTGGAAGACCATATGTCTGGTAACAGAACTCTGTATCATGCCACACAAGCAGGAGAACCTAGTCATGGCTATCAGACAATATATGCGACCGCATCAACCTTACATCTGGCCATTTAATTTCCCACGCTGCAACCCCCTTGATTATTATCTGTGGGGCGTATTTGAGTGTGAGATCAAGAAAACTCCTTGTAACGCCAAAGATAAACTGTAGGCAAGGATTATGTCTGCATTCATCAACTTAAACAATAAAGCCGTCTAGAAGAGTTGCAGGAGATTCCGAAGTAGTCTGGAGGCCATGGTTGAAGCCGATGGCAATTTTATCGAATAAATTTTCTTTTTAGTATTTCAAGATAATTTTGAGTAATTTTAGTAAATATGTCTGTTAGAATGAGATATCAGTGTTATTTTCATTTTCGCGTCATGTAGACGACAATTTATCCATAGAACGCTGTATATCTATTAAAACGAGATGTCAGTGTTATTTTAGACGACAATATATCCCTCGCACGCTGTATATCTGTGAAAAAAGGAGATGCCAACGTTTTCATTTGTGTGTCATTTAGACGACAATTTATCCATCGCACACTGTACATGTTAAAATGAGATGTCAGTGTTATTTTCATTTTTGGTGCCATTTAGACGACAATTTATCCATCGCACTCTGTATATCCGTTAAAATGAGATGCCAACGTTATTTTCATTTTGGTGCCATTTAGACGACAATTTATCCATCGCACTCTGTATGTCTGTCAAAATGAGATTTGTGAGTATTATTTTCATTTTTGGTGTCATTTAGACGACAATTTATCCATTGCACCCTGTATATCTTAAAATGAGATGTCGGCCTTATTTTCATTTTTGGTGTCATTTAGTCGACAATTTATCCATCGCACGCTCTATTCTTTAATGATAACATAGCTATTCAATAAAATAATTTTTTCACCCCCCAATCGTCACCTGGATTGGTTCTTTCACACTTCCCCGTTCTTTATATTTAAGCATATGAATAAGTTCATACGTAACTTTACATTTAGATTTTCCGATAAGGTCGGTTTCATTTTTCTTTTTTTTAATTAATTTCCTTCTTTCTCTCTTTCTCTTTCTTTACCTCTCGTTCTACCTCTTCTAACACACACACACGCACGCACGCACATGTTTATATACATATATCATTAATAAAAACGTTTCAATATCTACCAGTCAAGTCATATTAAAGAAATGCGCATTCAATCGTTTATAGTAACAAGAAATATATATTTACATACAGTCAACCACAGACAGACTGTTTCGCTTCAGTGTGGCTAGACGTCCGGTTGCCTCTAGCTATGGTCGAAACCCGAGTGAATTGGCGTCAGTCGGAGATTCTACCACAAGCCGCCGGCGCAAGGTAAGTACGAAGGTCAATTTAAGCGTATTTTTTTTTTTTTTTTAGATAAACACACTGAGAGGACACGATTCGCTTTCCCGAAGAGTCTTGCTATAATAGTCGCTGTTTACAAACCCACATTTCCTCCTCCAGATAGCTCATATGCGTATGTGTGTGTGCGTATGTGTGTGCGTGTGTGTTTGTGTGTGTGTCTGATTAAATTAATTACGGACATTATTTTTAGTATAATCAGTTCATACTCATTGATAATTTATTCGTGAATACGAAAGGATTATATTAAAAATAAGCAGACATAATGTCTGTAGTTTATTTAACCAGATATGCCTAAAAGAGAATTTGCTGCTTAAATACACAAATATATATATATATATATATATATATATATATATATATATATATATATATGTGTGTGTGTGTGTGTGTGTGTGTGTGTGTGTGTGTTTGTGTTTGTTTGTGTGTGTGTGTGTCTGTGTGTGTG